AATGAGCAGCGTACGGCCTAAGAAATTAATCTTCCTCGAGAATGTCGTACTCCGGGATTTCTGCGAAATTTGCTGGGTTATTTCTTAAAGTTCGCTCATAAAATAATCCATTAATCTTAAATTCATAAATCCGTCATTCATAAATCTTAAATTCATAATCTTAAATCCATTAATCGTTGAAATCTTAGATTGATTCTGTTTTTAGATCCAAGTGCAGGCTTTTGTTCCTTATAAAATACGGGGCACCTGAGATAACTATAAGAGCTTTTTTTTACAACACCTGAAGTTTTTTGTAGTCTTTCTCGCTGGCAGTAGATCAGGCGGAACACGCATACGTATAATAAGTAATATACCTAATATATGTGATATAGACCCTTCTCTTCAAACTGATAGAAAGCTGATCAATTTTAAGCAGTGTAAAAAGTTTGAACATTATTCCGTATGCTTTTCCACACACTTTGGCAATGAGCGAGCCTTTTATTTTCCTGTTGAGGATTTAGTTTATGAATGTAAAAAGCTGCATTTATTCAAATTTTGGTACTTATAAACATTTTCTATGCTTTTCTTGTTTAATTTATAAAATACTTTAAATTGTTTAATTTATAAAATACTTGAGTCGAGGAAAGGAAGGGGGTTGATCATTTAGCTATGGTTAAAGGGATGCATGAAGCAAAATGTTGAAAACCACTGTTCTAGAAAATTATGGGAAAACATATTGATTCAATGCTAAAAATATAGGGAGCATTTTTTTACTGATCGCAGACAATTAGCCGAGAACCAGTTAGCCAACGGGACATTTAATCGACACCAGTTAACCGACTAGACATTTAGCCGACAGGGACACTTAACTGACATGGACACTTAGCCGACAGGAAACTTAGCCAACATGATATTAAGCCGACAATGAGTCTTGCTCTTGCCAATACTTTTAGATTTCTAGTACTTTCACATTTCATTACTGTAAAAAAACGACACATCACACTACGTTCATTCTCGTATTTAAAAAAAAAAAAAAGTCTTCGTTTCGCTCCTCCCACTAATGAAATTTCCTTTCCCTTTCAAAAAGTAGAGTGATTCGCCCTACTCCTCGCCACACTGGAACTACTTTTTTTTTTTTTTTTTTTTTTTTACCTAAAATGCCATTTACAGGTTAGGCATCGCATAATTATTAATCTGGGGTAGGGCACCGGCACGGGAATTCGTACCTCGTGGCCTGCGGCCACCTAACAGAGGTAGGTTTGGTTTATGTAATTACGCAAAACCTCGAGGGCTATCTGCCTAAGGGGAGGGATGGCTTCGTAGAGGACTTTCTAAGGGAACTGGCTCGTATACACATTACACATGGGGAAAATCACGAAAACGCCTATGCAGCCAGCCCGTTCGCGGGATTCGAACCTCGGACCGAACTACCAGTGTTCAGCGTCTTTACCACTCGGCCGCTGGTGGGCCAGGACGTTCTAAGGAAAACTGGCTCGTATACATGTTACCCATGGGGAAAACCACGAAACACTCATGCAGCCAGTCGGTTCGCGGTATTCGAAATTCGGACCGAACTGCCAGTGTTCAGTAATTTTACCGCTCGGACGCTGCTGGGCCTAACAGATATAGAGTGACCGTTTTACTTAATCTATAACTAGTCTCTTCCAATAAAAATTGCCTTTTTAGGCTAGAACTTTATAAATGCATTCAGGAAAATGGGCACCAAAAATTTCCCTATTGCCATGTAGCTAAAACAAAAACGAGAAAAAGAAGGAATGAAAGAGGGGAAAAAAATGAAAATTAATGAGAAGTGAAATGAAAATTTAGTTGATCTTAGGATTATGGTAACTTGGCAACTTTTTGGTGAAAATTTGGCGACCAACCTTGCTACAGCAACCTGCTAGTTTTGTTTTGGACGCCATTTTGTTTTCACGAAGTAAAGGCATGTTTTTTTGTTTTTTTTTTACTTAACTTTTTTTCCAACAATCTGCTAGCCGAATTACGCTTATGCTAGAACTTTTATGGAACAAAAGTGCTTAATCATTACGAAGATTAGGTGCGAAATTGGGAGAAAGTGCAGAATCGTCCACTGCTTGCTGCGTTTTTAAGAATTGCACATACACGGTATCCATGTACACTTCGACCTATTTTCACTTAAAAAAACATCCCAGAATTGCACAAAAATGGCATTGCGCACACTCTTGACTTTATCCATGTACACTGCTAAAGTCCTAGCTAGTAACCTTTATCGCCTTACCAAAATGTCACCAAACTACCTGTTACCATATTCCAAAGATTAGCCGAAATTTATACATTTTTAACAGATATTGAGAATGTTACGTTTTATAAGAAAAACATGAAACAATATAATATATTATATTGAAAATTACACATCGCGACTTTCAAAACAGAGTACATAATATTATAGTACATACATGACTGATCTAGTTAAATCTAGCATCGACAGATGGAACCATATTACGGTGACTTTTCACAATGTCTCGCTTTGCTCCGCCTTACTTGGTGCCCCTCCTTCTGCAGAATCTCCGTTTCTCTTCGGAGATTTTCCCACGTGCAGAATTTCATATCAGCAACGTTTTCAATATATGAAGAGTGAAAATATAGTTTTTGCAGAAATGTATTTAGTTATGAATGAAATAAAACCTTAAAAAACATTCTACTTCTAAATTAAACATAATGCACCAGTTTAGTGCTATAAACATTAACCTTAGTATTTTCAGAGAGAGGCGTGGTCAATAAAATGTTACTGAAATTCTAATCTCAAGTATGGTTGCCCTGTTCCACGTTATGCCGCGATTAGCACGTAGAATTACGTGCTGTGTTCCGGAAGTCATAATGTAGTTGCTTACGATGGTGTTGGTGTATTTAATTATGGCAAAGCACACGAGGGCTATCTGCCTAAGGGGGGGATGCCTTTCGTGGAGGACTTTCTAAGGGAAACTGGCTCGTATACACGTTACACATGGGGAAAACCACGAAAACGCCCATGCAGCCCGTTCGCGGCATTCGAACCTCGGACCGAACTACCAGTGTTCAGCGACTTTACCGCTCAGCCGCTGGTGGGCAGTTGCTTACGAGGAGCGCTGAAAGTAAAGAAATGCATGAGCTGGGCGTTGCTGGATAGCTAAAGTGTAGAAGGGGCTGTGACCAACGCCACGTGAGCACGAGATGACATCTGAATGGTGCAGTTCATTATGTGTATGATGGCATGAACAACCCATTATAGAGGTCAGAAATTTATACCTTTGCTTGTCTTAAAAATTCACTTTTCTTTAATTGTTTCTGATAAGAAAATAATATATATTTCGAAACTAACCCTTCACGACCATATGTTTCTATAAAAAGTATAATTCAAGAATAACAGTAATGTTTACTGTATTATTCAGATTTTTCATGGCAGGGAAAGGAAATTTCATTAGTGGGAGGAGCGAAACGATTTTGTAAGGGAAAGAATATAACCTGATGTATTGTGTAAGATAGTAATGAAACGTAAAGGTATTAGAAATTTTAAAGCATTTGGAAGAGCGACATTGGAAAATTAATATCATTAAGTAAACAAGAAAAATTATTAATGATGTGAAAGTGTTCAGTTCATTAAATGAAGAAGCTTTACGGATAATTTTTGAAGATCCCATATTAAAATGTAATTGAGCGACAGGCGTACTTAGCTAAAAAATTATTTTCTCCTTTCGAAATTTAATTCATATTCCCTGTCGAGAAAGTGCAGAGCTTTTTCAATTTGGCCAATATACACCAAACAGCAAGATACATATCAAACATTGCTAAATTATCCCAATGATTAAAAGCACATATGAGATCTTTAAGAATCGAAAAATGAATTTTACTGATAGGTGAAAAAATAACTTAAATATTGAACTTATGGATAAGTCGAGAAATTTTGTAATTCATAGCAAGTTTAAATAATTATTGGGTACGTGTTAACTAAACTTCACTGTCGGCTTAGTATCCTGTTCACTAAATGTCTTGACAGTTAAAGAGTCCCGTAGCTAAATGCCCTGACGGCTAAATCTCTGTGTCGGCCAAATGTCCTGTCGGCTGTCCTTGTCAGCTAAATGACCTGTCGGCTAAGAGTCCATGTGGGCTAAATGTCCTGTCGGTTAAGTGTCCTGTCGGCTAAGTGTCAGAGACCCTTTTTTCACATCAACCAGATATCGAAGTTTACCGATATTTTCCGTCTGAATTACATCAATCAGCGTAGTAATACGGTAGGTAATGTAAGTGATAACGCGATTTTCTTTAAAATCTTAATCTTAAGAACTTTCCTATTCTTAAATTCCTACTATTAGCTCACACTCTACCTATATCTTGTTCAAATTTTCAGTCATTAACAAAATACTTTTTGTTCATCCACTGAAGTACAAATATATATATATAAATATTTTAACTTCTAGTGGATGACACTTGATGTTAATACACTTTATTAAAGTCAATTCCTACTTATTTATTCCTATTTATCGGAACTAAAGGTATTCTGCTTTTATTATATATATTATAAGACTTACAAATAGTGATCGTTTATTAGGAATTATCACGTACTGTAAAAATCAATTTTATTATAACCTATAAATAATAGCACATGACTGTGATAAATGGGATTGTAATATTCAACAAAAATAAGTGGCATTAGTAAGACAAGGCTTCTAAAGAATTTTAAAGTGTAGATTATGTACATCATGCAGTAATTTATCTAGGACGAATACTCTTCGCAGTAGGTCAAGTATATGTCGCTTTGAGTCGTTTGAAATTATTAGATGGAATATTAATTGAAGAACTGGACTGCTCGAAACTCACTGAAAAGGTTCCTTGCAATAATGAAGCATTACAAGAGATGGATAGAATGAGAAATTATAGACCATCATCAGCTTCATAAATTAGAAATGAAAAAAAATTTTAATAAAATATACTAAAATAAAATTTTTCTTTGTTAACCTAAGTAGGAATTAACTTTAATTTTTTCTGTTTATATTACTTGTTTTCAGATAAAATATATGTTTGATTATATACAATACATTGTGAGAAGAGACCTAATGAAGAACACGTGGAAAGACCTTGCAAGTGAAAAAATGGCCAGAGAAAAGGTTTGGTATATTTTCTTTTTTTCTCCTTTATATTATTTGTAACTACAAATGCCATAAAATTAATTAATATTTTCATCAAAATAGACAGATTCCTTATATGATAAGCTACTGATAACATACAATGTAGTTTATCTAGCTTCGTAGTAGTTCAATGTAGTTCAGATTATAGCCAAAATACAACTCAATAAGCCCAAATATTTACATGGCTTTACAATATTATTAATTGGAAATCTTAAAACTGTTTTATTAACACGCGAATCTTTTGAGTTTTATCATTCGATGAGTCTTTCGTCAGTGTCCTTCAAGGTCTGACGATCAGTTACGCTTAGAAGATACTTTTGGCTCAATTCTCATATTCGCTTTTAATAAATATAAATTCCAGGGAGTAGACAGTTGTAATATTATCCCTACATTTTGAACGAAACAAAATTATACTCACAATGTTCGTCGTATTTAGAGCTTTTCTGCACTGCTTTTGTTTTCAGAATCCGTTAAGTAATTTAATTTTAAAGTTCTGATAGATTCAGAGGAAAATAAAAAAAAAGGAACTATAAGAAAAGCCCACGAATAGTGCTGCTTTTGTCTATGTATTTCATGACAGAATGGTTGCTAGAGCCTCAAGGAGGTTGGACTTCTACTTTCACCACCGTTTTGAGGGAAAGAATCCAGGGAGGGGGGTCTCCGAGGTTTTCTCACTCCTCTTCCCTACCACCAAACCACAAAGGGACTTTCGGCTGGCCATATATTTAGAGTGCCCCATGTCTCATAAGACACTATACGTCAAATAGTAATTCCAAATTATCACCACAGAGCTAAACTCTATACGTTTACAAACATCCAATGACTTCTCCAGGGTTCGAACCCGGCCCCTTCGGTACCTCAGTAGACTCCTCTAACCACTATACCGTCTGGGCTGCCCCACGAATAATAGAATTTTACTACTGATCAGCTGATATAGCTCTGATATATCACTAATTAAGGATACCAGCAACCATGAATTTGAAGGAACACATTATTGCTAAAAATAGTTCGTTTGGAACTTTGTGGCTATACTGGCTTTCAGCAAGAAATTTTATCCTGCTCTTGCCAGTTCCTTATGTAATCCCCTATGGGGCCTGGCAGCGAGTAATCCTGAAGGGATGTAGAACTTTTGGCGGTGTAAATAGTTCACATGCACTCATTTTATTATTATTGTTTTACATTTCACAATTTTGCCGATTAACTAATATTATGATATTGAGATTTATATTTTTCATTGTTTTGTATATATTTCTAATATCTGCATAGGCGCTGTACTATATTTATCAACTGATTTTTTTACAGCCTGTGGTTTTACACATGAACACGAGTTATTCATATGAGTAACACATTTAACTGTTTTACATTGTTAAGATAAAAAGGTACCTTTTTCTTTTCATTGAGTATTAATTTTGTTTTCAGGAAATTGTTTTCGCTTACACAATTAATCATATATTATTGTACATAAAATTGGGAATTTTTTAATAAGCAGTCATAATATGACAGTCCAATGCTGCACAGACACTGTACGCACTGCATCCCGGAGAATGGCTTTGAATCCATTCTCCGGGATTTAAAGCCGCCGAGCTCTTCGGCACGGTAGTCAGCATCATTAGCCATTATCCTGGTTGAGAGGCCAATATATCTGCAAAGCGACAATAGATCTGAAGCAGCGACAGAATACTATATATACCAGGGGTGGCCAAAGAGCGGCTCGCGAATCTGATACGGCTCCCGCAGGCAATTTGTGCGGCTCATGCATATAGAATATATTATGTATGAAATATGGTAAACTAAAACTATTCAGTGTCCAAAAAGAGTAATTGATTTAGACACTTTTTACAAAGTTAACAAGGATTCCTTTCTATTTAAAAACCGTCCCCACTACTTCTATAATAATATAAATATGAACTTGTGGCTTTTAGAAAATTTAGATGCGGCTCTCGAACATTCCTGAATTCAAACGTGCGACTCTTACTGGCATAAAGTTTGACCAACCCTGGTATGTACTAAAAGTCCAGTATTGGCATTTTAAAGTAATGCATTTCATTTCAAACAAAATACTATGAAGCATGAAAGAAAATCCAATTAAAAATTATATTTTAAATTATTAAATATCTCAAGTAATTCTAGCTTCCTTAGTAAATGATGCACAATGTGAAGCAATATCCAGGTACAAAATAAAGATGTGCGATTAAAAATAATAATTAGTATATCAGGTTCAGTGTTTCTCCTTACTTGCTTGGGGAACATTCAATGACCTGACTCGGAACAGGGAGCTTATTAAAGCTATGTTCAATAAATGTGGGAAGTAGACAAGATACACAGGAAGGATATACGAAACCCTTTATTTTTCACTCTTTACAATAATTTCCGTACTTCGGAATACAGAGACCAACTACTTGTGGTCTGAACGTAAGAATATAAAAATATTAACTAAATTCTAACTAAACTAACTTTGGATTCATAAACAAGTGTCGACTTGAAGATTGGCCGTATATTAACAGAAAGGCCGTATGTAGTACAGAGAACTGTTAAATAAATTAAAGCTTTTAATTCTGGCCGGAAGTAGAAAATGAGAAGTGATAGTAAAGATTTAAAATAAAATAAATGTTAGTAAAACTTAAGATCCTTACAAGTATACGACTAACATTATTGGGGTACATATACTGCTTTTGGAGAAGTTAGCATTATCTTCGTATAATGAATCCGTTTCAGGATGGCGATCGTTTTGTGATTCGGTAATAAGGTAATTCAGTAATAAGTAATTCAGTTCTTTTTGTGATTCAGTACGCTGTTTCTCTTAGATTAAGCTCGGTATCATTATCCTCATTCACAGAAAATGGCGAAAATACTTCTAAATTTAAAAAAAAAAAAAAAAAAAAAAAAAAAAAAAAAAAAAAAAAACCCTCAATTCTCCAAACGTTAGACTTTTACTTACTTTGCAAAAGTATTTATTATTTTTTTATACAAAAGTATTACACATTCTCGCAGATATTCAGCTCAGTTTAGTTTGATATATTCGCAATTTTCTTTTAGAGGTGAAAGACCTAAATGTCTTTGAGCTTTTTGCACATCTACCTGTGATGTGGTTTTGTAATAGACGCTCATTTCAGACGCTTTGCAGGAAAAATAAAAAAATAAAATACTATTGTATAATCTTTAGATAATGTAACATCACGAAAGAAAGTCTTTGCACAATACGAAGGATTATAAGTTTGCTGTTAGCCTCAACTATGAGATCACAGACGTCAGCGGTTAAGAAATAGAAGATAATGTAAACTCCACTGCTGCGTCTTGCAAAAGTTCTCCAATTTACAACCACGTAGTGTTATCTGTCAAAACGGTATAATAGAGCTGATCGGTAGTTACAGGGACTAGATCAGCATATCCGGAACAAAGGGTGTTGAGACATCGTAGACTCGCAGTCATGTTGAAGATCTGGGATGCCCCTAGCTCATCAAGGCTATCCCGGCCTTGCGCTTGAGTTTAAAATATATCTTAAGACGTCGTTTTCCACTCTGCCGAGAATAAATGCAAATTTCCCATACATTGTTTACCATAATAAAATGTCGAAAAGAGTCAGCTTATCCTTCTTCTACAACCTTAAAATAGTGCATGATATAGTTGTTTAAAAAGATTTGCTTCTTTATTCACCTCTGTTTGATTAAGATGCTATTGTTTGGCTGCAGCATGGACTTTTCTGATTTCATCGGAAAATCCTTGATGACTCTAGCGACTTCAGACTCTTTGCCTTCTTTACCTTACTGGAGAAGCATTACCATACAAGTGTCTCATATTCCCTTTTAAACAACACCTGGAGAATTTTTGCAGTTATGTAATATTGTTGCGTTCTACGGGTTCGCGAATTTGAAGTGATTGATGACAACACTTGATGAAGAACCGAAACACAAAATTTATTCATCCATATGTGACAGGATTCCTCCAAAGGTGCGTTACAGTCGTCGAAAAATTACGATAAACACGCTGAAACAATCAGTAACATGGCCTTCAGGCTGCAATGGTTAAGACAGCTTCACGGCAAAGCACCAAAGTACAGCTTCCGTCTCTGTTCGGTTGCTCTGAAGCTAACCTATGAACTCAAAACACTACTACTGCATTCAACATACTCTCGATACTCTCCTTATATAGTTTTTGACCTGCCATCGAGAACATTCTGGGGGAAAGCCGGTAAAAATTCATTCTAGAATGTTCTCTCTACGTCTATGTCATGTCGTCAAGTTTGTTGCAAAATTTCTCCAAACGGGCGATTTGCACCACTTCTGGCAATCCTGTCTTTCTTTGCCCTTTTCTGGCAGCCCTGAAACCGCTTTGCAGTGAAGCTGTCTTACCGAAGCTGGGCATTTCGTAACAATATTGAGAAACATGTTTTCTTTCAGGCTTTTTGCTTGTTGTCTTTGTCTATGCGCAAACGCAGTTTCTAGTTTATACATTGCCAAAGCCCGAAATAACAAAAGGTTAGAGCCGTGTTTAATATGTTGATAATCTGTCACGATATTCGAGTGCGGTTCATTATGAGGGATCAAGTTTCTTATATGGGAAACCTTTTGGTTACTGCACACATTTGTTATTGTAGATGTTCGCCGCGAAAGGTGTTCATTATGGAAGCATTCTTCAATGAGTATTTCCGACTTGTATGAGTAAGAAAATGCAATTGCTTTATAAATAATATTAAAAACTATTTGTCTGACGCTTAAAATAATTCTAATCGGCAAAGTACCTTGAAATCGGTTATTTCTAAAGCAGTATTTAAATAAAGGTTGAAAGCAGGAGTACTTAATAATAACATTTGGTCGAAAGCAAATTGCCAACATAAAAATTACATATTTGCCAGCATTTCCAGTTTGAGAATCTATAAAACCGTATTACTCCGAATTGAATATTGAATTTTAGATTAAAATATTGAATTTTAGATTAAAAGAGCATTTATTCCCACTTGCATATTTCTTTTATGGGTACATCTTTGTTATAGTAACCCCCAAACATATTTGGCGATTTTAGATTTGCGCCAAGATCTCAGCTATGATCTCGCCAAGCTCGTGAATCGCGAATGTTGAAATAATTAGCACAATATATAATAATAACAATAATTCTCACATGTCGTTTCTTAAGACTATTTTTAAGGATCTTTATCCTTATTATTATTTTAACTCACGTAGTTGTTCCAGCCAACTGCAGCACTTTCATGCATGTTAAGCTGTTTGTTACACCATTTAATGGACGCCAGCTTCTTTGTCCGAGAATGAATTAATCTAATAGCAGTGACGAACGATAATCTGGAACAGCTGATCCAAACTCGAATATGGATGCCCTTCTTCTTTTTGCAAGTTTCAGCACTGCAACTCTAAATGGTTTCGTCGTTAACATACAGCTTTATGCCGTGGCCATTTTCGCATACTCGTTTATTAGGGAAAAGACCTCTTTCTTGAAAAACTGATATGGCATCCAACTCATTACTTAATTAAGCTTGTTAACGTCACATTCACACACAAAAAAAGACAATGAATACATTTTTAAATGAACAATGCGAATTCGAGAACCTCATCATAAATGAATAACATAAGAACATGTATGCAACGAAAGCAAAAGGGCAGCACGGTGCTAATATGCGATTACATGGCGAGGCAAAAGAACAAGCAACCAGATTTTGGCGAGATATCTAGGACATAAAAGGATACTTCTTCGTTATAGCGTTTCCCAAGATTGAAGGTTGATTAGCGATTCAATCTCGGAAACCGCTATAACGAAGAAGTATCCTTTTGGGTCTCGTAAATAATACAGTTGCCAATTTAAAATGTTCATCCTATTAATCACTCTCACTTTGTTTGATATTTTACAAATTTAGCTGAAATGTTTCTGGTAGTTTTGACATAAGAAAATACAGTTTGTTTCAAAATAAGATAACAATTATCATGTTTGCAAAAACGTTGGTGTATGATTATTCTAATTTTTTTAGACCAAAGAGGATATTTGCATAGAAGGGCTATCAATTTCGTTTTGGCATTTTGCGCTGTCCACTGTGAAACGGCGTTTTACGTTTCAAATTGCTGCCACCAAATACTAGTGCCCTACGTTATATTTAAAGAAATTAAATAATGAAGAATCTGCATGAATATGTGAATGTTTCACGAATTGTGAAAAAGTAACGGTACCTAGAGACATCAAAGTTTTAATAGCATAGTCCTCCACGCGAATATGGCATCTAGAAGCACAATTTGGAACTTGTTTTATTATCTACTTTTTAGTTTGTAAAATTTTAACGAATTTTTGATTAACAAACTCAGCGATTTCAAAGCGAGCAGTAGCAACACTGTACGAAAAAAAAAAAAAGAATTTTTATCTCCAGAGCGCGAGACTGTGTAACGGAAATTCTAAAGATGTGCTCTTCTTGAGTATTTTGTAATATTGCTGTTGAAATGAATTTGTGGTTTAAGTGCTAAGAACAATGATATTTACTAAATAAAGGTAACGCACCAATAAAAAAGAGCCATTCATTTTTATATTAATTAAATAATTTATTTATTTTGTGTATGTGTGTTTTGTATTATGTAGGCTTCGTCTATGGAAATACGTGTTAGTTATCCAAAAAATCTTTTATTCGATCCTCATTTCTCCAGTCTATACTCAGATGTAAGTACCAGGACATTTTCATAAAATACCTTACCTATCAAGCTGAGCATTTCTGCCAATTTATCCAGTAAAATTTATTGTTTTCTCAGCTGAAGCTTGGTGAGGAAAACTTCTTCGAAAAGGTGTTGAAAGTGCGAAAGTGGTCAGCTGACAATTCCTTATCTTTGCGGTTAAATCCTTCTCAGAGACATGCGCTGGAGCTACGAAGGTAATCAATTAACAATTCCTTCCTTCCTTTTCTTGAATAGAAACGTAGATTGATAGATAAGTGTGTTGCACATTGGGCCACTGAGCTGACTTAAGGCGAAATGCCAAACGGAATAAATCAGCTCAGTGGAGATATCTATACCAGCAGCCTCCACCCACCAAGGTAGAGGCTGACATCAGCGGCATTTGTTTCAAATTTTACATAAAATGTCAGTTAGAATTAGTATACATCTTTTCACATAATTGCATTCGACATTTGATGCGTATACAGAGTAATTTTTAGTATAGAGCTTTCATGGACTATGATAGTTACAGAGTACGAAGTATAAAGACTTGTAGTAACAAAAATCTTTAGCAATATACATAATGGTCATTGTGTACATGATAACAGCTTTCTGTCAATATAATTCAATTGCTATTGTATAATATTTCTTATTTTTACATTATTACATAATATCATAATTAGAAAACACCAAATTAATAAAAACTATACTGACACTAAATTATTAAAATGTACTATTTAAAAATAATGTTGAAGTTAAATTTTGACATATAATAAAGTATTATAAACTATTATGCAATATTATTAAGAAACATTATATGGAAATATCAGCATACATATACAATTTTAAACTAAAATTCTGATATGTACATAAATAATAAAGTTTAATTTCATATTATGTAAAGTTTCACAGTATGCACATTTGCATTTGACATTCATGTTCCATTTTGAGCTTAAATTTTTACATATATACATCAACACATACAATATGAACATTCACATTTGACATTAGTATATGATTTAGAACTTGAATTTTGAAATATATAATGTATAATAAATTTTACAATTTGCAAAGCACAATATAGTTAATCCTTATACAGTATTTAACATTATACACTTACAAATTATTAGTGTTATATAATATTACATTGTGTAAATAACACTATGATATTAATAAAATACAATTGCTATGTTGCTTTTACAATTATTAAGGTGTTTCGTTTACAGTACATATTACAAGTACAGGTCATAACAATTCAGTTTATACCTTATTTACATTTTAATGGAATGACAATTAGTAATACTATCACTGAAGTGAGGAAATTAATTAAGAGAATTATAGATAAGCATACTTAAATGATATCCTTAGGATATTATCTTTATCTATTGTCCTCAATAGTCACTGAAAAAGAGTTTAAGTCTGCACAAATATGAAATAATTTAAATAATTTGTTCCTATTGATAATGTTTGAAACAATATTATTTGTACAATGAGGTAAAAATTGATGTTGTGGCTCAATAAGATGATAATCATTTGTCAGTATGCAATGGAATGCCATTGTCTTTTAATCCAAATCTATGGAGATAGAGTGGATACGGACCATGTCCAGACAAAAAAAGGTTATTGCAGATGCTCCTGTTATTAGGCGATTAGTCACTTTTTGGTATGAATTTAAAAGTCCTTCGACCAATGGAGGAAGAAGATCAGTGTTCTTTCCAGTTAGCCATTAGATCATTCATAGTACATCTTTTAAGGTACGAGAGGGGAAGAGGAAGAGGAAGTTTTGGGAGATCAACTCCCATGGCTGCCTCTTTTGCCTTAGAGTCAGCCAACTCATTCCTCACTGTACGTACATGGGCTGATATCCATGAGAGGATAGGACGAAGCAGAACAGGAAAACTCAGTAATAATTTATGGATCTTATAAACCATTGTGTTCTTGGTTTTATTGTTCTTTAAGGCTATTAGACTGGAAAAAGAGTCCAAGATTTGTTTGGTATTGCATATGTTGAGATATGTTAACAGCTTTCCTTATTGCTAGCAGTTTTGCCTGATAAATTGAATTATTTACGTTTAGTCTTCATGTCTCCACGTGTTTAAAAGCAAATTATCCCCAAAGACACACAATCCACTTCCTGTACCAGAGTCCATATGGGAGCCATCCGTGTAGATTAGTATTGGAAAATTATTTGTATGAACATTATTTGAGGTAGATATTGTAATCAAAGTCATTATTTGCTGGATGACAGAGATAGTTATGGTCTTTGAGTTAAAAATCCGTAAAATTATAGGTCTTGCTCCACAAGACTGTTGATAAAATGCAGTCGCAAAACACAGGCTATTGTGGCTTCTCTTTCCATTACAAGATGATCTATTGGAGGTATCCTGTTAAAACCTGGAGTGCTATTTTGGAAGTCGTCCTATAACCTCTACTTATTTGTAGGAGGAATGGCCTTTGTAGTGATAGTAGCAATCTTCTTTCATGAGTATTAATGGAAGAAGCCCATATGCTTTAACAGTATCCTATTATTTTCTCAACTACTGTGATGTACCAAGTTTTCAAAATTTTGGAAGAAATTTGGAAAACGTTCTTGCTGCCGTTCTTTTCATGTTTTGGTTCAGGATATTGACTTTATTTTTTATGTGTTTAAGGTGAGGGATCCAAGAAAGACGGAAAATGATTGATAGACCTAGATATTTTAAATTGTTTGTAAATTTGATTGGTATGCCATGCTCTGAATTTTTATTGACGGTTTCCTCCTTAGTGGGGGCTCAGCCCCTATAAGTAGAGCTTGCGTTTTTGAAGAGGCAATGGTGATTTATGCTCTCTTGTCCAATTACTTATTGTATCCAATTGCTGTTGTGCTACTGTTTCCAATTTTGAGCGCCCTTTGACTATTAATAAAACGTCGTCCGCAAAGTCTCTCAAGTCACAGTGAGCATTGTTATTGAATTTCTTCAACAACGAATCTTCAATTAAGATCCACAAAATTGGTCCTAGACATGATCCCTGCGGACATCCCCTCTGTAACTTTTTATAAATAGGTCCAGAGTCAAGCGTAATTTGAATAATTCTATCCTTAAGTAACTTCGTATTAGTGAAATGAGATCGGAGGGACATTTCATGGTGACCAAAGCATTAATTATGACCGGCCATTATAATGAGTCAAATGTCCCCTGGATATCAAGGCAAACAACCAGTGAATGCTGTTTATTATCTTTATTTCTGAGTACTATTTCCATAAAAAAAAAAGATATAGCCATTTTCGTCGATTTGCCTCTCAAAAATCCAAATTGTGATTTGTTCAGGATGTCGTATTGTAAGAGGTGAATATTGTAATCTTTCCAGTATAATCCTTTCCAATAATTTTCCAAAACCATGCATCAAACAAGTGGGTCTATAAGAAGTTATGAGGTGTGGATTTTTACTATTCTTGTGAAACAGCGAAACGTCTGCTATTTTAGTACTTTTCGAGAAGTATTGCATCTTCCAACAAGTTTGCATTAATGTATGAATCAGTCTCGGAGCGATTTCAAAAAGCATCTTAATTTTTCTGTTATCTATTCCATCTGGCCCTGGAGCCTTTTTTAAATTTAGATTTTTAACAATTCTACTGATTTCTAATAATGTTGGTAGATATTCTGAAGGCGGAACGGAAGGACTGAACTGAGTAAATGAATTTATTATTGCCAATTTGTGCGATATAATCTTCTTCACTATTGTACTATTCTTCACTATTTAAAAAGGACGTTCAATATCGTATGTAAAACTTCTTGAGTGGATTTTGCCGCGGGGTTAAGTTTCGCAGGGATCAGAGTAGGTCTAAAGCTTTAATTAATAGCAATGTGAAAATTAATTAATTAATTTAATTAATAGCAATGTGTTAAGTTTATTAATAGCAATGTGAAATGCTAAGCCATGAATTTCTTTGGTGGAAGCACAGTATTTTTCCTAAGAATCCACTTTTGCTTTTCTAATGGAGCGTTTATAGAGTGCTTGATGTTTTTTATAATTTTGAAAGAGTAATCTCCTAAGTGTCAAAGATGTTTCAAATTGAGCCTGTCTTCTCAATTTTCTGAGTTCGCTACGTTGCTTAGAAAGATTTTCGTTCCACCAAGAGGTAGTCTTGTGCGATTGGAATTTCCTTAGTTTAAATGTTTTCTTACAGGCACTTTGAATTGTTCCTATTATCTCTTCATAGATAGTGTCGAGGTCATTTTGTGTATAACAAGTTTTCAAATTATTAATCAAAAGATCTAGCTTTGGTTTTAGAAAGCCTCTGAGTTTATTAAAACCTCCATTGCGTCTTAAATCTTAGTTTATGAAGAGGAGTTGTTTCGGATGAAAGACTAGCAGATTATTGCTCGGTGATCACTGAGGGTGGACACGTCACTGACTGTCCAATCTTGTATTAAATTGGGTATGGAGAGAGACGTCAAAGGGATGTCCGGCTACCCTTTGGCTCTGATTGTATCAAAGGTAGGAGGTTAGTCTATGTGGTAATGATTATCTCGTTGGTTGTGGTGGCAAACGTATATGTCACATGTTATGATAAACAGGAATATAGTGGCAACTTACCCCAGGACAAGATCCAGGTCTATAGCCCGCCGTGACGAGAGAGTGACAAACACGTGAAAACAGATTTAATTCTTGCTTTATTGGAATACTAACAATGCTGAAGAGATATTCCTTTTTTTTTTTTAAATCCGGTTGTGTCACATGACGATATGAGGCCTCCTCACTCAGAACAAAAAAAAAAAAAAAGATAGGTCAATTCTTCCACACAGCCCCTTCGAAGACTTGGTATATTTCAGCCTCTATCACACCTGCAGGTACTCTTCATCGGGATGCCGGGCGAAAATGACAAGCCCGGGAAAAAAAAAGAGATTAGCTTAAATTTTGTAGCTACAACATCAAAAGAGAAAGAAACTCACTTCCTTCATACACACTGGGAGACCAAAGAAAGCTTGCACGATAAACTCCCAAACGTTTGCATTTTTACTCCCACTCTTACTGTCTTTCTCTATGCAGCATCTCCATCTCGCACCTTCACAATCTCCTCCTTCTCCTCCCTCCTGGTAGACAAAAAATACCGCCTTTATAAAGTTCCACCAGTTTAAGTTTTGCCGCCCAATGAAAAAAGATCCAGCGTCAGAAGGCAACCAATCGCAAAATACCTTCAGCTACCAGGCAAACAGAAGTGAAGACGCTAGTTGTC